TCGCCCTCTCGTTCTAGACCCAGGGCGACTTGGTTTCTCGTGGTGCAATTCCCATGCACCAAAGGCCCAGCTAGTAAATGCTGAGTTTCGAGTTTAACAACCGTATGTGCCACATAACCTCAGGCTAAACGAGATCCAGGACGTTTCCATCAGCCCAGAAAGTCCCTGTGACCCGCCCCCCCCAGGGGCCACCATGTTCTAACTTCTGTCTCTCGAGGTTAATTCTGCCTGTTCCAGATCGTCACAGGAGCAGAATCAAGTGCTTTGTTTTCTTCTGTGTCCGGCTCCTCTGCCGGCACAGATCTGCAAGGCTAGCTCGTGTCGCTGGGCTGCGGACATCCTGTCCTGTTTCACTGCTCGGTCCTCTTTGGTATGAGCATGGTGCCATTTGTTTACTGGTTCCTGTGATGACGGTCACTTGGGTTATTTCCAGTGGAAGGCTATTATGGGCTGGTATGAATAACACTGCTACTAACGTTCTTGGGCAAGTCTTCCTGTGGGTGGAGCTGGCTACAGAGCCGGGAGGGGACGGCGTGGGTCATGGCGTGGCACATGCTGCCAGAGCTCCCCGCGGCTCTGGGACGTGTCACAAGGTGCTGCCCGAGCTCCCTGCAGCCTGGGACTGTTCCCCACTCTCACGTCAGTGAACGACGGTGGCTGTTGCTCTCACCCCGGCGGCTGGTGGGGACCGTCTTTTTCTCTGGGTCTTCTGGTGCGTGGGGAATGGCAGCTCCGCGTGGCCCTGCTTTGTAACAACTTTTATGGGGCCTATTAGACATTTGTACACCTTCTTCCACGGGAGTTTGTTTAGGGCTTCACCCATTTTTTATTGGGTTCATCTTCTTGTTGACTTACAGGAGTTCTTTATTTAATATGATTCCTCTCTCCAAAGCCTGGATGGTGGATACTTTCCCATTCTGTCACCTGTTTCTCTGTTCATTTTTCTTAATACTTTCCATCTTTGATGAGTAGAAATTTCTAATTTTTGTAAATAGTCCACGTTTACGTACCAGCCAAGAAATCTGTCATGGGGGGGGGGTATTAAAATACCCCGAATTCTGGGCTCTGTGGTTATTTCTATTATCCATCTCAAATTTTTTTTGTGTGTATGAAGTGAACCAGGTCCATTTTTCCCTGTGAGGGTAATCAGTTTTCTTAACATCATATTAAAAAGATTTCTTTACCCATTGAACTACTTGACGCCTTGGTTTAAAAATCGACTTGTCCTCTGTGTGTGGGTCTGTTCCTGGACCCGACCCCATTCCATGAACTTATTTGTCTCCTTCCCCCAGCGCCACCCTGTGTCAGCTACTGTAGCTTTATAATGGCTTCCAGGACCCTCTCTTAAAGTGCAGCCCAGGGTAAGGTGTGCAGAGAGCGTTCCTCACCTGATCCTGGGGGCAGGGACTTCTTTTTATTGAAATCAAGTGGTCTAAGAACTCCTTTGTTGTTTTTCAAAATTGTTTTCTCTCTTCAAGATCCTTCGTCTTTCCATATAAATTATGGAATCAACTTGTCCACTTCTTCCAGTAAGCTTGCTGGGATTTGTGCGTGTGTGTGTGGGGGGGAGGTGCCAGGGATTGAACTCAGGGACACTCAACCACTGGGCCACATCCCAGCCCTGTTTTGTATTTTATTTAGAGACAGGGTCTCACTGAGTTGCTCAGCGCCTCACTTTTGCTGAGGCTGGCTTTGAACTCACGATCCTCTGTCTCAGCCTCCCAAGCCGCTGGGATGACAGGCATGGGCCATGGCGCCTGGCCAGCTTGCTGGAGTTTTGAAGGGGTTGTATTGATCTGGAACTCAGGGGTCGTCTTAATGTCGCATCTTCGGATCCATGAATATGGTATATCTTCCATTTATTTACTTATTTACCTGTTTTTCTGGCCACGTTCTGCCTCCCCAGCACAGCAGGGCTTGCTCATCTTTTGATAGACTTGTTCCTAGGTGTTTGGTGTTTGTTGAAGTTGTCCTAAATGGCATTGTGATTTTATTTTACGATGTTCATTGCTAGACTTCTGTTTGGGTGGGATGACGCTAGATCCTGTCGTAGAGTAAAGGACCAGGGGAAGCAAAAGCAGGAGCAGGAAGGCCAGAGAGGAGGCCAGTGCCTCCTGGGGAGGGCTGAGGTGGCCAGGAAGGGGTGGCCGCCACGGGGACTGGTGTGGGAGACATCGGAGGGAAGGTAGTGCCAAGAGCATTTTCTGAAGGCTCTGATACCAGGCGTGAAGGAAAGAGAAAAGTCAAGGACAGTGCCGAGGTTTTAGCCTGACCAGCGAGAGGGCTGGCCCTCAGCTGTGCCGTTTCCAGAAGAGCTGTTGAGGGACATGGGGTTTTCAGTGGTAGGGCTGAGCCTGCGGGGGGCGGGGGGTGCTGTGCACCTGGGGCCATCAGCTCAGGGCTGAGCAAGCCCACCAAGGGCGGAGCAGGACAAGGAAAGAGGCCCAAGGCCTGTACCCTGGAGCAAGCCAGCCTTAGGGACCAGGGGACAGGGGACTTAGCACAGGACAGAGGAGGAGCAGCCAGGGAGACAGGAGGAAGACTGGCAAGGGCCAGAAGAAGTGGAGGGAGGTGTTTCCAGCAGAGCGAAGGTCAGCCATGGGAGAAGGCGATGACAGGACAGTCACTGAGGCCCAGCGGTCACCTAGCAACGTGGAGCCAGCCATGATTTTGACAAAACGTTCTCAACAGGCTGAGCTGAGGGAGCTCAGGAGGAGGTGGGAGGAGAGCCGGGGGTTGGCCGGTGCAGACCATTCTTTCCTGAGAAAGGACTGCAAGAGGACTCCTGGGGGCTGGGAGGACACTGCCACTGACCTTGCCATGCGTGTCTCACCACCGCGGCTGCTCTCAGCTTCCTCTGCTTCTGTGTCCAGAAGCTTCCAGAACCCTCCTCTGAAGTGTGTGGCCCAAGTGTGGTGTTCAGAGGGAGGTCCTCAGCGGGCCCTGCAGTTGGTGACTTCCTTGTGTCCAAAGCCACCTGCTGCTTACCCACAGTCCTCCGGTCCCCACAGCAAGAACTCAACCTCTCGGGAGGCCCACTTCTTCAGGAGCTTGAGGAAGACTTCCCGTGAGCCCCCGAGCCCCCCGGTGCCTGCGCCCGTGCCCGGCCGCTGTGTCTCTGCCCTACTGTCAATCACAGCCACACAGCAAGAATGGCCGTCGGCCTGCACTGCTCTAAGGCCACTTCCACACACCTCAGATCAGAGGATCCGTGCTGCCCGGCATGGAAGCGGCATCTGCATAAGCGACTGTCCTGGGCACGGGGACACGGTCAAGGGGAGCAGGAAAGAAATGAGCCCTGATTTCCTGCCGCTCTGAATCCCCAGAGCTCTGGAGGCTGCATTTTAAGGACATTTGAAAAGCGCTCCTGCGCCGGGGGCCTCCTGGGGAGGCCCTCCTGGGCCTGCCAGGGCCCTCGGGCAGGTTGTGCCCTCCTGCTGACCCCCAGTGACCCCCCTGCTGGGTTCTGCTTCCCCCTGCGAGGTGCCTGCGGGCCGGCCCTGCCATGGTTAGGCCTTCCCTGGCGTGTCCACTCTGTCCATTTTGTCTCCTGGGCTCCAGCGGGAATCCAGGCGGCCTCTCTGTAGTTCCCCGTCTTTATCAGAGCTCTGGCTCCGCAGGGGCCTGGGTTGGAGGACCCGTCCCAGCCCCACACGTCCCATAAGCCCTGTTGTGCAGGGGCTGAGGATCTCAGGATCCCGCCTGTGGAGTCCCAGCAGGGATCCTGGACGGCCCTCTGGAGGGACCAGGCCAGGAGGCGTGGGGACCGTAAGGAGGCAGCCCCCAGCTCCGCACCGGCACAGGGTGGGGAGACCCTCTTCTCCTGGAGCCCAGCGGGTGGAGGCCTCCTGTCGCGTCTGCAGTCCTGCCCCCGTCCCCCGCGGTGCTTCCCAGGACGCACACCTGGCAGGCTCCATTCTTAGCACCTCTGTCCCCAACACACACTGGCAGTGACCACTCAGGGTTTTAGGGCTTGGCCAGCAGGGGGGAGGGGCCCTCAGCTCCCCAGCAGACCAGCACTTCCCTGGATTTGGAAACAATCTTGGGAGGAAACTTTAACTTTAGAAATGCTACAGCGCACTGGCTTTCCCGCACACTGGGGGCACTGCCAGCCTTGCTGTTTGGTGTAGCACCGCTGCCCCTGGGGACAGAGCACCTGCGCAAAGCAGGCGGACCCAGGGTGGCGGGAAGGCTCCCATGGGGAAAGGGTGAGCAGGGGTGGGTAGGCTGGAGCAAGGGGGTAGCTCCTGTGTCCCCTGCACAGCCTGTGCCCAAGGGCAGGCAGCTGGGTGGAGGGTACATGAGACATGGAGGAGACCACCCAGCCCACAGCACCAAAGCTCATCAGGTCCTGTAAGGGAAACGAGGCTCAGAGAGGGTGGCCACTTGCCCAAACTGCTATCCTGAGCCCTGCCGCCCACCACAGCCTCCCCAGGTGGTCAGACACCTACTTCCTTCTTGTTAAGAGAACCCCCAGCTGCCACCCCCCCCCAATCTGGGCCCCTTTGCTGGGCCAGGCTCTGCCCATGGTGCTGAGGACAGAGGTGGGCGGGACTTGGCTTATGCCACAGCAGCTCCAAGGGGCTTGACCGTGGCCAGGGACACACTGTGCCATGTGGCTGCAGGAGAGAGCCATCGATGAACAGATGTCCAGAGCACATGAGGGCAGGGGAGGATCCGTGGCTGCTGCTGGGGAAGCAGGAAGTCTCAGCAGAGGGCAGGGAAGCTGGCACTTGGGGACTGGTAGGAAACTGAGCAAAGCACAGACTAAGACTAACCCAGGAACCAGAAAACTTGGACGCATTGATCAAGGCTGTGTTTTGAGCTGGTGATTACCCCAGCTAAGTGAGCTTCTTATCCCCACTTCTCTGACCAGTGGGCAGGTGCCTGGTGTGTCGGGAGCACAGTGGGCAGCACACTGCAGCAGAGAATGCCGGGGAGTGCTGGGGCCTGGGAACAGAAGGGCCGCCGTGATCAGCCCCACCCTGCACTCCACACAGGTGCAGACATTCCATGGAGACCTGCTGCAGCATATGGAGAAGAACACCAAGCTGGACATGCAATTCATCAAGGTGAGTCTGCCCTCCCCACCCAGCGCCCAGCTCCCCACAGCAGGCCACCTATCCCAGCACCTAGCATTGACCAGGCCCAGGTTAAACACATTCCCAGCCCTGGGATGGGTGTCCTGGACACTTGGACCCCTGTCTCTCCACCCTCCCCAGGACAGCCGGCAGCACTACGAGATGGAGTACCGCCACCGAGCCTCCAACCTGGAGAAGTGCATGTCTGAGCTGTGGCGCATGGAGCGCAACAGGGACAAGAACGCCCGGGAGATGAAGGTGAGCGCTGGGTCCAGTCTCAGGGGAGCCCCCAGCACCCCCTAAGTCCCCCGCCCGGCACCAGCCCCACGGTGGCCAGCACAGCTAGAGAGGTTGGCCAGCTCCCGAGGCCCCGGCGCTGCTGGTGCCAGGGCCACGCTCGGCACCCCACCTGCCCCGGGGCCTCATGGCCTGTCCCAGGCTCCTGGGTCCCTCCTGGAACCCCAGCGCCCCTCCCCCTCCTCCTACTTCACCAGGAAACTGAGCCCCGGGTCCTGCTGCCCTCAACTTGCAGCAAAGGTGCAATCCCAGCGCCCCTCCTCCTGCCCAGCCAGAGGGCCCTGCCCTGGCCAGGATTAGCCCCCGCCTCTCCGCCTCCTCTCCTGGCCCCTCTAAGTGAGCTCACCTCCCTCTGAGAGTCTCCCCTCCCAAGTCGGGCCTTGGTGATCTTGGCCACCACATCTTCATTACCCAACCTCCTGGGGCCACTCTGCTCAGACCTGTGCCCGGTGCCAGGGGCAGAGTGATGGCTCAGGCACCCCGCCAGGGGGACACTGAGGATGCCCACGGGGTAGGCTCGGGAGCTGGGACCGGCTTGGGGGGGGGGCAGGAAGAGGAGGCTAAGTCAGGACCAGCAACCAGAGCCTCCCACAGGAGAGCGTGAGCCGGCTGCACGCGCAGATGCAGGCCTTCGTGACCGAGAGCCAGAGGGCCGCGGAGCTCGAGGAGAAGCGGCGCTACCGCTTCCTGGCCGAGAAGCACCTGCTGCTCTCCAACACCTTCCTGCAGTTCTTTGGCCGGGTGAGTGCGGAGGCCGGGGGGAGGGGGGCGGAGGCTGCACACAGGAGTCCTCCTCCATCCTTCCTTCATCTGGGCAGAAATTTATTTAAAAAAAAAAAAAAAAGAAATTGGTGCCAGAGATGGACGCTACAGATGCTTGACCACTGAGACACACCCCCAGCCTTGCCCCTCCCCTCTCTCCACTTTCTGAGACACGATTTCCTAAGTTGCTGAGGTTGGCCTCGAACTTCTGAACCTCCTATCTCAGCCTCCAAGTCGCTGGGATTATAGGCATGGGCCATTGTGCCCCACCAGAAATTGACTTTTTTTTTTTTGTACCAGGGATTGAATTCAGGGGCACTCAACTAACAGGGGGTTAAGATCAGCATCTCATTGGGGGGGTTCTTCTTCCTGCCAAGGAGGGTGTAAGCCACCTGAAACTTAAAGTCATAAATAATAGTGAAGAACAAAACACAAATAGTCAGGAATATATTTACAAACAGCAGAGCCCCTGATAGATCTAGCCCACATGGGGGCTGGAACTGGACAAGGAAGACAGCTCCGTCATTTACTTAAGGGACAGCCTTGCTTCCTGATGTCTTGAGTCAGCAGGTTGATTGGCATCTGGGCAGGTCACACCCATCTCAGGTGCTGTGTGGGGCTCCGCAGAGCGGGACAGAGAGCCACAACGTCTCTGAGCAATTGGCTGGGGATAGTCACCAGAGATAGTCTAGAGTCTGACCATTCCCAGACACTAGAGGTTGCTACCCACTAGGCTTCGATGCACAGTGACCCACACACAACCCAGGGACAGCTGGTGACACTCAACCATGGAGCCCTATTTAGTATTTTATTTAGAGACAGGGTCTCATTGACTCTAGGGCCTCGCCATTGCTGAGGCTGGCTTTGAACTCAAGATCCTCCTGTCTCAGCCTCCCCAGCCGCTGGGATTGCAGGCATGTGTCACCGTGCCTGGCGCAGAAATTGATTTTGTTTCACTCTGTCCACCCATCTTTGCTTGTTGCTGTGTTTGTGTCACCATGTGTCCCCTATCTATCCCTCTATTCGTGGTTTTGCTTCTGCAAGGCCCTCGGCTGGACTGTAATGTGCTGGAGCTGCAGGAGAGAAATGGCCACTCACTGTGGCCACGGGCAGGGCTGACGGCGCACTCTGAGTCACTGCAGAAGGTGGTGCCCTTCACCTGACTCCTCCACAGACCTCTCTAAGCATCGCCACTCTGGGGACCAAACTGCCAGCCCATGGCCCTTGGGAACCCCCTCAACTGTGCCCAAGCCACAGCACACACTAGCGCTCACCCTCGGAAAGGGTCCATTAGAACCTCCCTCACCCTGAAATCCCCAGCGCCCTGCGGCGGAGTCCGCCCTCCTCCTGCCCCCACCACTGCTGATCTCCTCTCTGCCTCAGAAGATGCACCTGTTGTCACTGTCGACATTTCACACAAAAGCCACCGAGCAAGTGTGTCCTCTGTGACGGCTCCCTTTGTTGGGCACGCAGCATCCGGCTGTGTGCACGGATCCCGTTGATGGACGGGCGCCCAGTGATGGGCGTGTGGGTCGATCCGCTGGGGCTGTTAATGGCTCCTCTGGGAAGAGCCTCGCTTCTCTGTGTGGACAGACTCTTCCTGCTCTCGGTGTGAGTGGGATGGCCGGGCCGGGTGGTGACTGTGTGTGACTGTTCCAGCGCCTTGGGTGGTGTGGCTGCAGTCCCCGCCCGTCAGCAAGTGCGTGGGGGTGTCCCGTCGCCACACCCTCGCCAACACCTGTGGCCCTCTTTTGCTCCTGGCCGTGCAGTGGTTCCTCGGCGTGGTCTGGTCTGCATTTCCCCGTGGCTAGCACTCAAGCCCGTATTTTTAGTTGATGAGTTATAGTTGTATGTCATGGTGGGGTCTATTGTGACACGTGCATACATGCACACAACACGTGGTGGCACAGTATAATCTGGCCACCACCCCTCCCCAGCACCTCCTCCCTCCTCCTGCTCCCCACCCGTCCCTTTCCTCTGTTGATCTCCCTTGAATTTTCATGAGGTCCCCACCTCACACCCACCTTTCTTTCCCTTGTTCCTCTCTAGTTTCCACAAATAAGAGAAAACATATCACCCTTGACCTTCTGAGTGTGGCTTATTTCACTTAACACAATGGTCTCTAGTTCATCCATTTTCCTGCAAATGATGTGAGTTCATTGTCCTGATGGCTGAATAAACTCCGTGTAAATGCCACGTTTTCTTTATCAACTCATCCCCTGATGGCCACCTGGGCTGGCTCCGCAATTTGGCTCTTGTGAGTTCTGCTGCTGTGAACGTGGGTTTGCGGTTGTCACTCTAGTAAGAGACTCACTCTTCAGGGTAAATACCAAGACATGGTCTAGCTGGTCTTTTGAGGAGCTCCACACTGATTTCCACAGTGGTCACACAAACCTACAACCTCTTGAAGAGTGTCCAAGTGTCCTTCTCTCCCTGCATCTTCTCCAGCACCTATTGTTGTTGTTTTCTTGAGGACTGCCCTTCTGACTGCTGAGAGATGAGATCTCAGTGTAGTTTTGATCTGCGTTTCTCTAATTGCTAATGACATTGAACATTTTTTCATGTTTGTGGCCATTCGTATTTCTTCTTTTGAGAAGTACCTGTTTCATTCATTTGCCCACTTGATAACTGGGCTATTTGGTTTTTGGTGTAAAGTTTTTTGAGCTCTTTATAAATTCTAGATACTAATCCTCTGTCAGAAGAGCAGCTGGCAAAGATCTTCTCCCATTCTGTGGGTTCTCTCTGCACATTCCTGTTTCCTTTGCTGTGCAGAAGCTTTTTAATTTGATGCCTTCCCATTTATTAACTCTTGGCATTACTTCCTGAGCTTTAGGGATCCTATTGAGAAAGTCATTGCCTGTGCCTAGATGCTGGAGTGTGGACCCTACGACTTCTTCTAGGAGTTGCATAGTTTCTACTCTATTTCCGAGGTCTTCGATCCATTTTGAGTTGCTTTTTGTGGAGAGTGAGAGATAAGGGTGAAGTTTCATTCTTCTACATATGGACAACCAGTTGTTACAAAGGCTGCTTTTCTCCAATGTATGTTGTTGGCACCTTTGTCAAGGATCAGGTGACTGTAGATGTGTGTGATTGTCTCTTATTCTGGACCATTGGTCTGCGTGTCTGTCTTTAAGCCAGTACCGTGCAGTTTTCGTTACTGTAACTCTGTTGTATGATTTGAAGCCTACGTATTGTGACGCCTCTGGTATTGCTCTTTGGTTTAAAACTCCTTTAGCTATTTTGGGTCTTTTATTTTTCAAAATTAATTGTTTTTTCTTTTTGCTAGTTCTGTGAAGAATGTCACTGGTATTTTGATGGCGATTGCACTGAATCTGTATATTGCTTTTGGTAGACAGTCATTTTAACTATTAATTCTGCCTCTCCATGAACATGAGAAGTGTCCATCTGCTGAGGTCTTCTTCAATTTCGTTCTTCAATATTCCATAGTGTACATTGTAGAGGTTTTCACATCCTTGGTCTGATTTATTCCTAAGGTTTTGTTTTTTTTTCGAGGCTATCGGGAATGGAGTGGTTTCCTGATTTCTTTTCCAGCTGATTCTTTGTTGGGGTATAGGAAAGCTGTTAATTTTTGTTTGCAGATTTTGTAACCTGCTGCTTTGTCAAAGTTTGGTGTTTTTCTTTTTTAATCTTCTAAGTATAGGATCTTATCTGCAAACAGTGATGATCTAACTCTTTCCTTTCTTGTTTTTATCCCTTTTATTTCCTTCTCTTGCCTAATTGCTCTGGATGGAATTTCTAGCACTGTATTAAAGAAGAATGGCGAGAGTGGACATTCTTGTTCTGGTTTTAAGGAAAATGTTTTCAGTGCTTCCCCATGAGGTTGGCTTGGGTTATGCACACCTGTATGATGTTGAGGGAGGCTCCTTCCTTCCTAGTTTCTTCCATGTTTTTATCATGAATGGGTGCTGAATTTTATCAAAGGTTTGCTCTGCGTCTATTGAGATTACTAAGAGATTTGTGTCCCCAGTTATATTGAGATAATGGATCATATTTATGGATTTGCATATGTCCAGCCATCCCTGCATCTCTGGAATAAAACCATCTTGGTTGTGATGTATAACCTTAATATGTTGTTGAACACAATTTGCTAATATTCTATTAAGTATTTTTGCATCTAAGTTCACCAGGGATGCTAGTTTATAGTTTTCTTTCTTTGGTTTTGGTATGAGTGGGACACTGGCCTTGTAGAATGAATTTGGAAGTGCTCCATCCCTTGCTATTCATGAAATAATTTGAGGAATACTGACATTGTTTTTTTGTTTTTGTTTGTTTGTTTGTTTGTTTTGGTACTGGGGATTGAACCGAGGGGACTTAACCTGAGCCACATCCCCAATCCTTATTCATTCATTTATTTATTTATTTAATTTTGAGACAGGGTCTTACTAAATTGCTTAAGGCCTTGCTAAGTTGCTGAGGCTGGCCTCTAACTTGCAATCCTCCAGCCCAGACTCCTTGGATTACAGGTGGGCACCACCAAGTCTGCAATATTGGTTCTTCTTGAAAGGTCTGGTAGAATTCAGATGAGAATCTATGTGGTCCTGGGCTTTTCTTTTATTACTGCTATTGTCTCATTACAAGTTATTGGTCTGTTGACATTTTCTGTGTCCTTTTGATTTAATTTTGGCATATTGTATTTATCTAAAAATGTATCCATTTCTTCTAGATTTTCCAATGTATTAGAATAGAATTTTTCAAAGTCGTTCCTGATGATCTGCTGGATTTCTGTGATATCTGTGGTGATTTCTTCTTTTTTATCTCTAATTTTATTAATTTGGGTCTCATTTTCTTCTGGTTAGTGTGGCTTAGGGCTTATCAACCTTGTTTATCATTTTAAAGAAACTACTCTTTGTTTCATTGATCCTTTGTATTATTTTTTCATTCTCAAGTGCACTGATTTTGGCTCTGATCTTAATCATTTCCTTTCTTCTGCTGGTTTTGGAATTGGTTTGTTCTTCTTT